TCCTCCATTCTCCTCTCGGGATCTTAGGCACACACACACACATACACACCCAGTGTGTGTTTAAGCCACTGGGTCCGGGACTTGAGCTGCAGTTGACTACGTGAGAGTCCAGCGATATAGCCATTACGCTAACTGCTGGTCCCGCAGTTGTCAGAATTTTTAAAAAATAATTATTCATGTATTTATTTAATTCCATTTGTTGTTATTATTATTTTAAATTTGACCAGAGAGAGAGAGAAAGGGAAAGTGAGAAAGCAAATCACCATGTTTGGGACTCAAAACGCAGTCGAGCATGTGAGAATCCAGTGCCTTTACCACACCACCTGCTGCCCCTAGGATTTTTATCAAGAGTACCAAGTTTTGCAAAACTGCAGTTGACAAGATTAGGGTCCCAGCAAATAGAAGGTTAGGAGATAAGAGTTCAAATAAATAAACGTGGGGCCAGCAGGTGGCATAGTTAAGGCACTAGATTCCCACATGGCCAACCACAGTTCAGGTCCCAGACCCAGTTGGCTTGAAAATCATGCCATGTGCTGCATGTGTGTGCATGCCCAAAATCCCAGAGGAGAATAGAGAAGGGATTGTGGCATGGTGGGGGTGGGGTGGGCGGTGATTTCTCACTTTCCCTCTCTCTGTCTCTGTCTCTCTCCAGCAAGCGCATGTTCTCTATGGCAAAAAAAAAAAAAGTAAATACATGTTTTTAATAGTTGTGAATAAAATTTCTAGATGGCATCTTTTTTTAAATTTATTTATTTTACATTAATTCACTGAGCATCATCACAGTATGTAAAATGTGATTCCCCATCCAGGATACACTGTATAGTGTGGCTTATGCATACATGTTATCAATAAATAATTTTCTATTTCTTGGTTCATATTTATTTATTTATGTGTATAAAATAATAAAAAATATCACTCCATCCCATTTCTTTTTTTTTTTTTTTGAGAGGTTTTTGCGATAGGGCGCATGCGCTCGCCAGACAGAGACAGAGAGACAGAAAGCGAGAAATCATCCCCCAGGAGGGATGGCCACACCGCAATCCCTTCTCCTCCATTCTCCTCTCGGGATCTTGGGCACGCATGCACATGTGCCCGGAGTGAGTTTTAAGTCACCGGGTCTGGGACGCGAACCACGGTCAACTACATGGGAGTCCAGTGACATAGCCATTACGCTAACTGCTGGTCCCAAATAATAATTTTATTTATTCATTTATTTTAATTTGACCAGAGAGAGGCAGAGAGAGAGAGAGAAAGTGAGAAAGCAAGCCACCAGGTCCGGGACTTGAACCGTGGTCGGCCCTGTTGGAGTGTCCAGCACCTTAACCACCACGCCACCTGCTGATCCCCCTTCCATCCCATTCCTCACCTTGTCATTTGCCAACCTCCTCCTGCACTGTTATTTACAGTTGCTTTCCATTCCTTTTTTTCCCCCCACATTTTATTGATTAACAAAAATATCTTAATTAACTACTTACAATTGCAAGTTTAGCTGATATATGAACACATGTCTGACTTGGGGCATGAAACTCTGAGTAGAGCATCTTCTTTTAAATAGATCCTCCTTTTCTTTCAAGACAGTCCTTAGTAACTTGAAATACATTGTTCTTTGTACTTTTACATACCTTTACTTTTTTTCTCGTAAGTCTTGACAAACATGTCCCAATGGACTTGATGTTGAAAGAAATGCTCCCCTACTTAGCACTGAGATTTCCAGGATTGCTCTTTAAACTACACAGCATCAGTATGGTGCATAACAGATTTCTTTCTGATCTTCAGATCTCTAATTTTTTTTTTCTTTTTGGAGAGGATTTTGCTGTATGGCGCGTGCGCTCGCCAGAAAGAGAGAGACAGAAAGAAAAACGAGAAATCACCCCCCAGGGGGAATGGCCATGCCACAATCCCTTCTCCTCCATTCTCCTCTTGGGATCTTGGACACACATGCACACCCACCTAGTGTGAGTTCAAGCCACTGGTCTGGGATGCAAATTACGGTCGCCACATGGGAGTCCAGCGACATAGCCATTATGCCAACTGCTGGTCCTCAGATCTCTAATTGTTAAATTACAGTTATATGAAATTACTTTTGAAGCTTGTTAAATGCAGATTCTTGGGCCCCACCTTAGAGATTCTGACTTGTCAGATCTGAGATGGAGTCTAACCATCTGCATTTTAAAATACTTATTTTTTCCATGAGAGACAGACAGATACAGACACAGACGTAGGCATCTCTGATGGGGTCTTCACACTGAACCACCCCATCTCAGCCAACCCATGAGCGTGGCTCACAAGCATCCAGCTTAGATATCTGCCTTCTTCACAGGTACACCAAGTGATTTTAACACAGGTATTTAAGGGCCACAGTTTGAGAAATGTTGATCTAGGAAAAAGAGAGCAATAACTGCAGAATGAGTTGCAGAGCTTTTAAAGGTTGATGTTCAGGCCTCCCCTTGAAGATATATGCCCTTGGTATATCTTGGCTGAGCTGCTTCCTATGCTTACCTTCCCTTCAGTAATAATTGTTTAAGGGGCAGGTGAAAAAATTATCTCACATTTTAAAATTTGGGAGTACAAACATAAAATTTAGATATTATAAAACCACAGCTAGCAAGGGATTGTGTGTATGTGTGAATTTGTTTATACTTTTTAAATCCTAAATTATTGCTGTTTTACACTTTCTTACCATTCCTTCCTATGATAATAGTTAGAACAATCGGCCCTTCAAGCAGAACTTGAGAAGGAAAGGCAAGCCCTCAAGAGTGCCCTTGGAAAAGCCCAATTTTCAGAAGAAAAGGAACAAGAGAATAGTGAGCTCCGCACAAAACTGAAACAGCTGCAGGTACAGATTTGTTCTTTCAGAATATATTCTTACATAGGACGCCTCAAGATGATGGTATCTTTAGTCGGCACTTAACAGCCTGCTGATGTAATAAGCAACTTGAATTTTTAGGAAAAAAGGAATTGGGGCAATACCATAGCCTCTGTTGTTCCCTTGTGATGATGGTTTTAAAGTTATTAACATGAATATCCTTTGTCCTGCTATGGTAATGTGAAGAGATGGAGACGGTGTGAAGAGTAAATAGTATAGTGTGTAAACCTCTGGATGAAAACAACACTTTGCATTTTTCTTAGAAGCAGGTTTGTCCCTATACTAAGCTAAAATTATTAGACTGGTGTATTCTGCTTCCACTGAAATATCTCTGTAATTATCCTGTAATTTAACTAGACTGATGATCGCAGTAAAATTTTCTGATTGTAGTTTTCACAGTCCTTCTCTCAGAAAGGATATTATTAAAAATGTGTTCATTTTATATTTGTAGGGAATGTAAAATAGAATACTTTTAATAGCTCTTCTCATAATAATCTGCCCAATGAACTGTAGGAGAAGCAGGTGAGCAGGATTTTCCAGATAATTAAACTCTTTGAAAGAGGACAGGTATCTGAACAAACAAGTACCTGAAGCAACACTCAGATTTCCAAATCTGTACCATTAAGGGCTGCTTTGCTAGCCAAGGTAGCCAGCTGTTAACACCAGAAGTAAAGGGACAGACTTGATGTGGTTTGAGGGAAGGCTTCCCAAAACCACCCAGGAGTGTTTGTGACAAACCTGAGTTCATCCAAATTTTCTCTTCTTCCAATGCCCCAAATGCTTTTTCCTCGTAGTGTAAGGAAACCTAATAACCTAAACTTTAAAAATTTTGTTGCTCTTAGTTCAACTTATACAGCAGATACTATAAAAGCTTTTCATACTTCCCATTCTTGTGTGAGTTGTATGTGTACATGTTGGGTCTTCATTGGGTTATTATTTTATTTTTACTATGGAAATTTTTATGTAATTGCAAAAACAGAATAGTCTCATGACTTTTATTTAAGCGCACTGTCTAGTTTTAAATAATTGTCAGCAGTCACTGTTTCTTTTAGCTCCCCTGTCTCCCACCTTTTGGTGGAATATTTTTCTTTAATTTCGTAAATCTCATATATATATTTTTTTCCTTTTTTGGAGAGGTTTTTGCTATAGGGTGTGTGCCCTTGCCAGAAAGACAGAGACAGAGAGACAGAAAGTGAGAAATCACCCTCCAGGGGAGGATGGCCACACCGCAATCGCATCTCCTCCGTCCTCTCAGAATCTTGGGCACACACGTACACGCGCCCGGCGTGAGTTCAAGCCATTGGGTCCAGGACTCAAACTGCGGTTGGCCACATGGGAATCCAGTGATATAGCCATTATGCCAAGTGCTGGTCCCTCATATAGGTTTTTTTCCCCCTATATACCTCTCCTATAGTAATGGGCTAAAATATATACTTCAAGAGCCTTTTCTTCTAAGGTAGAAACTGAAGTCCGCTTTACAGAATGTTGTCCCGTGCTGTGGGACTTACCTAATTAGAACTGGGTCTTTTGGTTATTTGGCCTACTAACCTTCTGATACCACTTATAAGTTAAATCCACTCTACATTTGTTTTTGTCATAAATCATTTACTTGCAGTGAACTAAACCTACTCACACTACCTTAAGATGGAGGCCATTGTTAGGAACTAGAGCTGCTGTAGTAATCTGTCAGCAACTACATGGCTCTCTCATTCTTTCTCTGTCTCTCTGGACATTGTATTTAGGCCAGCATAGACCCCAGCCACTGACCTGACATCTCATTTCAGGTCTAACGCTTATATAAACTTGTTATACTGGACCTTGGTTCAGATTCTGGAGAGAGTAAGAACCTGTTTTCTGGCTTGTCAGTGCCTTGGCTAGTCTTTGGTCAGATCACCTGTGGCCAGTTTTAGAGAGTAGTACAGAAAGGGCTGCCTTAGGGCAGTGGCAGGACAGTTTACAGTGAAGGATACTCCAGATAAGACAGGCACTTGAAAACATGTTCATTGCAATTCTAAAATCTCCATTTTAGTTAATAGTGTTACACTGAGTTTGAAGTAAATTAATTACTCAGGTTAAACTATAAGTACTCATGGGAATACAATCAGTAACTTTCATGCTGGTCCCATGGCCTAGTGGTTAAGGGAGCCAGATCCCATTTGAATCCTGGCTGTGAGAGTTTGAAAAACACCATGGACGTATGCATGCATGCCCAAAATTGGATAGGTTGGAGAAATGGAGTACAAGGGATTTCAGGGTGTCATGCCCTGTTCAGGGGTGCTTTTTTTCCTTTCACTCTCTGTCTCTCTCTGGTAAGCATATGTAACCCCTGGCAATTTAAAAAAAAAAATTTTTTTTTTTCTGTATAATTTAGGGAAATCTTAGTGGTTTGTTTTTGCTTGGGGCCAGCAGGTGGCATGGTTGTTGAGGTGCTTGACTCCCACATGGCTGACTGCAATTCAAGTCCTGGATTTAGCGGCTTGATTTCTTACTTTTCCTCTCTCTTCATCTCTGTCTCTCTCTAGTCAAATTAAAAAATAACAACAATAAATAAAATTCAATAAATAATTCTTTTTTTTCTTTTTTTTTTTTTGGAGAGGTTTTTGCTATAGGGCGCGTGCACTTGCCAAACAGACAGACAAGAGACATAGAGACAGAAAGCGAGAAATCACCTCCCAGGGGGGATGGCCACGCTGCAATCCCTTCTCCTCCATTCTCCTCTCGGCATCTTGGGCATGCACGCACATGCGCCCGGCGTGAGTTTTAAGCCATCGGGTCTGGGATGCGAACCGCGGTCGACTTCATTGGGTGTCCAGTGACATAGCCATTACGCTAACTGCTGGTTTCCAATAAATAATTCTTTAAAAAAAAAGTAAAAAGCATCTGGATTTAGTTCTGTGGTCTAGGTAGGTCATTGCCTGTTAATAATGGAACTATCCTAGCATATAACAGCTAACTACCCATTTCATCCCCCCCACCTCCATAGGATGACAATAACCTGTTAAAGCAGCAACTCAAAGAGTTCCAGAACCACCTTAACCATGTGATTGATGGTTTAATTCGTCCAGAAGATGTGGCAGCTCGTGTGGATGAGCTGAGGAGAAAACTGCAATTAGGAGCTGGGGAAATGAGGTAAGGGGAGATCAAGACCTGTAAATACAGAGTGGGCCTCCCAACCTCTGAGTTGTAATGGGAGATTCAATGGTAAACATACCTGTCTAAGTTCTGCTGATGGATGATTTCTCTTGTAAGGTTCTCCTTATGATGTTTCCATGACAGACATAAGACTGTTTAATTCTAGTTGTCAGTCACTGATTTTATTTTTTATTACATTTTTTTATCTTTTCTACTTTTTGGTATTATTTAATTTTTAAAAACGTAAAAATTTTGAGTAGCTCACTCTTGAAAAGTTCATTATATGTGGTCAGAACATGAAGCCATATTATGATTTTTTTTGAGAGAGAGATTTTTGCTATGTGGCGTGTGTGCTCGCCAGAAAGACAGAGACAGAGAAAGTGAGAAATCACCCCCCAGGGGTGATGGCCACGCAGCAATCCCTTCTCCTCTGTTCTTTCTTGGGATCTTGGGCATGCACACACACACACACACCCAGCGTGAGTTTAAGCCACCGGTCTGGGACTCAAACTGCAGTCGACTACATGGGAGTCCAGTGACATAGTCATTATGCCTTCTGCTGGTCCCAAGAGCCATATTATGATTTTAAATAGAGAATAAACATCAAAAGAAAACAGGGTTATGTTGAGTTGTTGGAAAAGTCATGATGTATTTTTCTATGCTAAAATGCATCATGACTCTTCTGATGACCCAATATTTAACATGGACATTTCTTCTTTGGGCAAACTTGGTTAGCCTGATATGAGCCTGTATTATCAGAGTGGCAGCAATTAGTTGACAGAACAGTAATTTGTATTTAGCTGTGATGAGTGACTTGCTGTGCATGAACACCAGTCTCCTCAATTAGCTCTTTTTACTCTTACACTATTAATAGCATATTCGCAGCCAGGATCCAGTATAAAAAATAAAATGTCACATTTGTGTTATCTTTTTTTTTCTGCTTACTAGAATCCATAGTCCTTCAGATGTCTTAGGGAAAAGTCTTGCTGATCTACAGAAACAATTCAGTGAAATCCTCGCACACTCCCAATGGGAAAAGGAGGAAGCACAAGTTAGAGAGAGAAAACTCCAAGAAGAAATGGCTCTGCAGCAACAGAAACTGGCAAACGGGCAAGAAGAGTTCAGGCAGGCCTGTGAGAGAGCTCTTGAAGCACGAGTAAGAGAAGGGCAAGAGGCAGCTGGAGGGAAGTTTTTGGCAAATACTAATGTTTCTCAGTAAATTACAATACCTCCTTTCTCGTATAAATACAACCTAATGGTAGTTATTTTCACTCATAACAATCCAATCTGGATGTGACAAGAATCCAATCATGAAAATGTTTATTGATGTCAAAGTTAGGCTTATTTGCGACACTCGTTCCCTCATTTGAAAGCGAGTGAGAGATGTTTTATAACAGGCAGGTAAATAATACCACAGTGCTAAGTATAATGTGCCAGCATTAGCTGGGATTTTTAAATTTTTATTTTCTTTATTTTTTACATATGATGCTTTTAGTGATGAAACAAACAAATAGACCAAATATGAATAGATTTTAGAGAACATTCAAGATAAAGCTAGTCTTTATAACTCATAAAATTTTACTACACTCTATAATAAAATGAAAGATAATTGTATAGAAATTTTTTTATTTTGCTTAAAATATACTTTACTTAAAAATCATCTTTGAAATCTGATTTCCACACAGATTAATTTTGATAAGCGGCAACACAAAGCAAGAATCCAGAAGTTGGAAAATGAAATTCACTATTTACAAGAAAATCTAAAAAGTATGGAGGAAATCCAAGGCCTTACAGATCTCCAACTTCAAGAAGCTGATGAAGAAAAGGAGAGAATTCTGGCCCAACTCAAAGAGTTAGAGAAAAAGGTGGGAAAGACTGAGAAAGTAAGGCATGGACATACTGGCTGCCTGAGTCCTGGCCATTGGTGATCAGGTCAGCTGAGAGGGATGTGGATGTGATCCACAGTCACCTCTGATTGCTTTGCAGGCCCAGTGCTGATCTAGGAATGATCCTGGCCTACGATCTGTCTAAAAGACAGATCCTTTAACCTAGAACCTGAGACTACAGTGTCATGGTAGATGGAAACAAGGGAATTGGGAATGTTAGGAGTGACTGACTAATCAGGTAGTACTTAACAAATAATAAATGAATTTGCCTTCTTAGAACCCCTTCCCCAGTTGGACACGTCCTTGGCAAATTACTTTTAAACTCCTCATCATTCTTTCTACTACTCTGACTTCTCTCTGATGGCCTTTCCCATCCCTTCTCAACCATCTACTTCCATTGTCACATCCTGGACCTTCTCACATTTAGAAATTGCACCCACTACCTCTGAAAGCACAAACTCAATTATTGCACTCTGATCATAGCCTCTTATCTTGCTGGCACCCCACATTAGTGTTTTTTCAATCTTACTGAGCTTCCTATTCATCAGCCTCTTCTTTTCTGTTATATCTTTCCTGTCTTTTTTTTTTTTTTTTTTTTTTGAGAGGTACTTGCTATAGGGCACGTGTGCTTGCTGAAGAGATGGATAGAAAGCAAGAAATCACCCCCTAGGGAGGATGGCCACACCACAATCCCTTCTCCCTTCTCCTCTTGGGATTTTGGGTATGCACACACACACGCCTGGTGTGAGGTTTAAGCCATTGGGTCCAGGACTCCAACAAACCATGGTCAACTCCATGGGAGTCCAGCAACATAACCCTTACACCATCTGCTGGTCCCATCCTTCCTGTCTTTACTTTCTCCTTATCCAACTTAAATTGCATGGTCGGTCATTATAGCTATTTTTTACAAATATCCTCCCTTGCCCTTTTAAACTGAAGCTGTCTGCTTTCTTTGGGCCTGTACCCATGCTGCACATTTCTGGAGGAAATTTACTCATCCATCATAGTGGCATCATTGTAAATTCATAGTCACTGAACTCAAATGGTCAGCATTATTACCCTTTTCTCTGGTAAGCTCACTCTCTCATGCTCCATGGTTTCATACCTCCCCACTCCTGCCATCTCCCTTCTTCCAGCCTCAGTGAATGACTTGCTTTATACTTCACCAAGAAATCATCAGTTGTCATCCTATCAAGTCTACCACCAAAGTAGAAGTGGAATATATGTATGTTTTCCTTCTCCGATGGTACCATTCTCATCTAGCTATCATCTCTCTATGGACAACTGTGTAGCCACCTGACAGATTTCTCACTTCTACTCAGGATCCTGCTCTATGGAGCAGCCATCTAACTTTCTAAATGTAAGTTGGCTATAGTCAGTTTTCTCCCTGTAGCTTCTATTATTCTTAGGATAAAGACCAAAATTCCTTTTTTTTTAAAGAGGATTTTGCCTTAGGGTACTTATGCTTGCAGAGAGAGAGAGACAGTGAAAGGAAAAGTGAGAAATCACCCCCTAGGGGGATGGCCATGCCACAATCCGTTCTCTTCCATTCTCCTCCTGGGATCTTGGGCATGCATGCACATATGCCTGGCGTGCATTTCAAGCCACCAGGTCTGGAACTCAAACCACACTTGGCCAGGTTGGAGTCCAAAAACATAACGACTATACCATCTGCTGGCCTAAGACCAAAATTCTTAAACCTATGAGGCCTTGCGTAATTTGCCTCTGTTTAGAGCATTCCTTTTCTCACACTGTGTTTTTTTAGTTCCTCAAAAATATCAAGTTCTTTACTTACCACCATATGCCTAGGGCCTATTCAGCAATTTGAAAGGTTGATCCATCCATTTCTTTGATGATCATGGCAAGAAAGTGTTTTTCCAATGAATGAAAAAATTTATGATCAATAAGATTCTTTTTTTTAGATTTTATTTTAGGGAGTGTGTGCTTGCCCAAGACAAAGACAGAGGGAGGGAAAGTGAAAAATTACTCCTTAGGGGGATCACCATGTTGCAATCTCTTATTTTCCTCTTGGGATTTTGGACATGCACACACATGTGCCCAACATGGTTTTCAAGCCACTGGGTCTGGGACTCAAACTGCATAGTTGACCATATGGGATCCAGCCACATTAACCTCCACACCACCTACTGACCCCTATGACCACTAAGGTTCTTGACAAAGAAAACTGATTCTAAGTTAGTCTCAGTTTTGAGGGTTTTTGTGGTTTCTTTTTATTTCTTTCTTTCTTTCTTTTTTTTTAATTTGCCAGGGTCACATGTGTTTGCTTTGGGGAGAGAGAGAGAGAAAGAGTACTGCTCACTGAGGACAGCCACACTGCAATCCCTTCTTGTCCACTCTTTCCTTTCAGGACTTTGGGCACACTCACACTCACCCACACACACGTGGTATGTTTCTCAAGCCCCCACTTCCAGAACTTGCAGTCAAACCATGTAGGATCAAGCTGCCTTAACCACCATGTCACCAAAAAAAGGCCAACTCTTTTTTTCCTGCCCTCTTAGAGCTTACATCTTAATTCATTGCTATCAAATGATTCATATGTTCAATTAATATTCCTTTTGTTTTAGAAGAAACTGGAAGATGTCAAATCTCAGGAGCAGTTTCTGGGTTTAGATAAAGAACTGAAAAAGCTAAAGAAAGCTGTGGCTGCCTCTGATAAGCTCGCTGCAGCTGAACTCACCATTGCCAAAGACCAGCTTAAGTCTCTTCATGGAACAGTGATGAAAATTAATCAGGAGCGAGCAGAGGTGAGTCCACATGAACAAATCAAGTTGTCACCAGTGCTATGACTATTAAAAAACTTATCGATTTGTGTTATTAATCTCTTGTTACAGACTTGGGTGATTTTATCAAGTATTGTAAGGTTGTCTATTTTTTTTTAGGACCTGACGATTATATTTTCCCCATCACAACCCCCAGGAATTTATTCTGTGCTGCCATGGGCTTGCACTTACTGAGTCCTTAAAGGAGCCATCAGAGGACACATGCTATCTCTACCTTAAAGTATAGAGATCTGCTTAGAGAAGTAGCTGTCAGTATGTGTCTAGACAAGTGGTGTTTTGAAGGTTTGCCATACTTACCTGCACCTCAAATCTTTGATTTTGTACAGTCATACCAAAATGTATTACTGGCCCAGTCTGGTGGCATAGTCCACAGCAAACTGACCTGCAGTGCTGGAGGCCACATGGTTGACCGAAGGGATGGATCTCTTAAGTAGGCTTTCAATCATGCCAGGTGTATGCATGGATGCCCAAGATGATCCTGATGAGCTGAGGGTCTCAGGGAAAGGGATTGTAGTGAGTTGAGACCCATCATGGATGCTTTCTTTCTCCCACTCTTATGCATGTTCACATATAATCATGAATAAAAATAAACTTAAATAGGTTACTTTATAAGGCTGTTATGATTCCTGACTGCAATAATGTCATGGTGCTTTAGAAGATATAAATACTGATGATGTTAAGAGTGTAGCGCATAGGACATGAAAGATCTAATGATGAGAGTCCAGGGAGATCATGGAAGACTAACAGAAAATTGCCCTTTGTTCTTTCTGATGGGGCACTCTATCACTTGGCACCCTAGAAGGGTGGAGCAGGCTGCCCAGTGACAGCAACCACACAGAGGAAGGTAGGACTTGGTGCCCTATGTACATGGATAGACAGGCAGGTAGTGTAATGAAAACAGAGGAATCCACCTGAAAGGGAGGAAGAATGCAGAAGACAGTCGGTGATGGCAATGGTGCCTCTCTCATACTTCTGTCTCAATAGGAGTTGCAGGAAGTGGAGAGGTCCAGCAGAAAAGCAGCGCGAGCAGCTAGGGATCTGACACGAGCAGAAGCGGAGATCGAACTTCTGCAGAATCTTCTCAGGGACAAAGAGGAGCAGGTCAGTGTCAGTACCCTAAAGCCCCCTTCTTATTGGGTCCTTATCAGCTCCTAAAAGACAAAATTACTATAAACGATGTCTCCAAGTTCTGGACAGGATAGCCACGCAGTACTTCATCCTTCTACTGCATGTCAGAAGCAGTTAACGTTTAAGTAGTATAAATAGAGTTTCCTTATTGGGAAAGTGAATAAAAATGATAGAATTATAATCAAGTTCTAAAGATAAATGTCTCTGGGAGAGAAAGAATTCATTGACCACTTTGTGTGTATGATTTTTCTAATAGTTTCGAACTGAGATGGAGAAAGCAGATTTAGATACTGAAGCAGCAAACTCACAGGTGCTTGAAATCGAGAAACTGAATGAGACAATGGAGAGACAAAGGACAGAAATTACAAGGCTGCGGAATTTACTAGACCTCACTGGGGCCGGTAAAGTATTTGACTTGGTTTTTGGCAGTCTTTTTGTAGTTCTAAAATCAAATCATCTCTTTTTTTTTTTTTTTAACCTTTAGAAAATGTATTAATATTCAAAATTCTATTCTGTGCTTGATTTAGAGAGCTGTGGTGATTAGCTTAAATAAGTAAAATCAGATTTTTTAAAGCATTTTGTACGTGATATTGAGAGACTTGATTACAGAGAGACAAGAGGTTTGTATTTGTAATTCCAAAAGAAGTTATATTTACAAATCTATTTATTTGCTTTTTCTGACATACTTTAATTAAGACAGAAGAAGATGTCTGTCCTCTTGCTATTAGCAAAAACTAATTAACAAAGGACATGCTAAAAGCTTTGAGGAACTGATAAATTCATTGGCTGTCATGGAACCTTGTGAAAGGAAGTAGATGATTTTATACCAACTTCATAGAATGTCTTTTCCTTCCCAGACAATAAAGGAGGCTTTGAAAATGTTTTAGAAGAAATTGCCGAACTCCGACGTGAAGTATCCTGTCAGAATGATTACATCAGCAGCATGGCAGATCCTTTCAAAAGAAGAGGCTATTGGTACTTCATGCCACCGCCACCACCATCATCATCAAAAGTAAGAATGCTATGGTCCTGGGAGTGTATGCTGAATTTTCTTAAAGTGTGACATTGTCCCTTCCCCCTAATTTGTGAATAGGGGACAAGAACATTTACCTGCTAAGCCATGCATTTGTGTTCTTCAGTGTTTTTGATATTTGAAGTGAAAATAAGGCTTTCTCAGGGAAGATAGCAATTGCTTATCTATGCCCAGATGGTGTGTTATAGGACCACTAAAAAAGGAAGCTGTAAGGGATAAAGTGATTCGGCCTGAAGAGTTGAAAATGGGTACCGAGGCTCAGATAGAAAGATAGTCACCTGAATTTCATTTCCTCTTAACAAACATTCATTCAGTGCTCACCAAAGTCTAGGCCAGGTGGTAGGGTACCACAGTGAATAAAACAGCCCCCACTCTCAAAGAGCTCGTGGGCCATGCCAGTGTAGTTACAAAATAGAGGCATGTATTGACAACAGACATGAGTGCTCTAGTTACAGAGAAGTGTTAAGGATTCATTTCATGGGAAAATTCTGGAAGGAAAGCTGCTCAATCAGTATTGTGAAATCAACATTTAGCCAGCAGCAAGAGAGATGGGCTTTTTGTTTGTTTTTTAAGGTGGCATTTTTTGCTTTGTTTTGTTTTGCCATAGGGCATGTGTGCTCACTGAGGGAGAAAGTGAGAAATTCTTCCATAGGGAGGTGGAGGGGATAGCCTGACCACAGACCCCTCTCAGCCATTCTCCTCTTGGGACTTTGAGCCTGTAGGCATATGCGCCTGGCATGATTTTCAAGCTGCCAGGTCCAGGATTCAAACTGTTGTCTGCCAGTGGGAATCCAGCAACTACCATGCCACCTGCTGGCACAGGATGAGCTTTTATGGGGGAAGAAACAGCTTTGTGTGGAAGAAAGGATTTGACATAACCATAGCAAGTAGCCTTATGGTTCTGGAGGGTCGGGGGAGGAGGTGGATGTGTTGATGGGACAGTGAAAGATAAAACTAGAAAAGTAGATTGGGCACTTGATTATTTGAAATTGCCTGCACATCATTATTTAGGCCATGAGAAACAGGTTGTATATTAAAAAGATCAAAGTTAAAGTTTAGGAAGATATTCTGGTTGAGTGTGGAATCTAGACTTGTGGCAGGGTGAGTTTGTGGGGCTGTTTGAACTCATTCTAGTAAAGGATAGAAGAAGCAGAGCTAGATTGGTAAAGCTTGAAAAGAAGAAATAGGAAGACCGGCAGATGGCATAATGGTTATGTCACTGGACTTGCACGTAGTTGACCACAGTTTGAGTCCCAGACCTGGCGGCTTAAAGCACACTCCAGGTGCCTATGTGTGCTTACCCAAGATCCCAAAAGGAGAAAGGAGAAGAAGAGATTGCAGCATGTCCATACCCCTGAAGAGTGAGTTCTCGCTCTTTTGTCTTTCTGGTGAGCGCATGCGCCCTATAACAAAAATCTCCCTAAAAAAAAAAAGAAGAAGAAGGAGGAGGGAGGAAGAAGGAGAAGAAATGGGATTATGGGATGCCCTAGAGATAGAATGGCCAGGGCTTGGTGCCTGAATGTGGGAAGTAAGGAGAGGACTAGGAGCTGTGCTCATTCAGAGCAGAGGGGCTGGGTGACATCTTGCCAGAACTAGCTGATAGGCGTGTCGGGGAAGAGCAGTACAGACATGTTAGGATCCCAAGGTTGTGTAAACTTAACCAGAATGCTGAAAAGCAGAATCTGAGATCCTTCTCCCAGAAATCTAAAGGAAGCCAACATCTTTGACCACCAGGGTTGGAGGTGAAAACAATGAACATTAGAGCAAAATACTTGAGTTTGAGCTAGGTGAGGGTTTGAAGGACAGACCTTCCAAGTAGAAGGAGAGGGAGAGTAGCAGAGTAGAGCTTTGAAGTCATGCCAAGCTCTCAGAAGTCTCAAATCCCCATATTCCCTGGAAAGTTCACTGGTTTCCTTTGCCTCCGTTGCTAGGCTGTCAAGGACAATGCAAAAAAAAAAAAAAAAAAAGCAATCACCAGGAAAAGTTGTAAAGGGAGAAGAGAGGCTGCCACTCAGGTCTGATCTCTTAAGGAGAATTTATTTTCATTTCTTTCTTAGAGGGCTACCATGTAAAATTAACCCAGTGACACAGCCAGGTAACATGTTTTTCCCATTTCAGCATGGTGAAGGACTTGTTATTTCTAGAAAAAATGTACTAAAAGACAGGATAGGAGATGGCTGTTACTAAATAATTTCCAAAGGGATACATACACATTGGTTTAGGTCTGTTGCTTTCACCACACTTTGAACCCTTCACTTTCCCAGACAATCTGATATGAGGCCAGCTCTCCTCTCTGCACAGCCTCCCTGATGCTGCCATACTTATAAAGTGCAGAGGGACTTGATAATCTAAACCACATGTATGGAACTGCAGTTTATGTGACCCTGTGATCACTTCTCACTTGGTCCATGAAAAGTGAGAATTATGATCATGAAAGAAACCAAGTACTTTCTGAACTTTGCTATATCTCAACTTTAGACTTTGACATTTCTCAGAGCCAGGCTTTCCATTTGTAACAGATAGTGTGCTTTGCTGTCCTTTATTTTAGGTCTCCAGTCATAGTTCCCAGGCCACCAAGGACTCTGGTGTTGGCTTAAAGTACACAGCCTCGACTCCTGTTAGAAAACCAGGTCCTGGGCAACAAGATGGGAAAGAAGGTGGTGGGCCTCCACCTGCCTCTGGGTACTGGGTGTATTCTCCCATCAGAAGTGGGTTACACACATTGTTACCAAATAGAGGTAAGTGAAATCTCATAAGGGAGTTGTATTTCTCCTGTCTTTAATCGTCTTTTATTAAACTATTTTATGAGACTCAGTCCAAACGCCTTGGCTTGTTCTGCAAGGCCCTCTGTGATCTGGTCTTGGCCAACAACCTCTGTCCTTACCTTCCATCATTTTCTACACCATAACTGACTACTTAAGATACTCTTAGCATGTCATGTTTCTCACAAAAACTGACTCCTATTTATTCTTCAATAAGTCCCAGGTGCCGAAAGTTTACTCTTTTTTTTTTTTTTTTAAGCTCTATTTTATTTCTCACAATAGGGGTGGAGAGAGGCAGATACCCTTGACAGTATCTCACCACACTGTGGTCTTTTCCCAGCCTCCCAGCCAGCTTAGATCATGAACGTACCTGGCATGATCATGAACACACCCAGTGTGATCATGAACACACCTGGGATGTTCAGATCAACTCAGAATCTAAACCCTGGCCTCCAGTATGGCCCCAGTGACACCCTACTGCCTGTACCACCACTGCTGGACCCAACACTCCTTTTATGGGACCTTTCTCTACCCTTCTTTGCCTATACCCCTGAAGCATGATACCTTCTGTCTTTGTATCATGATGTTAATCTTGCTCTACTAAAATAGTGTTACAGATCTCGCTTCCAAAGCTTCAAGATTGGGGAAGAGTGAGATCTGGGCAAATCCTAACTCTTTCACCTAGCAGTGTGATCTTGGGCAAATTATTTAGCTGCTCTGAGACTATTAATCTGTAAAATGAGAATATTACCTTCTGAGGATTTGTTCACTGAGGAATTATTTCTTGAGCACCTGCTGTGTAATAAGCAAACATAGTTCCTGCTTTTAGGGGAGATAAGTAAGGGAGCCATTTTATTAGAAAATATTGTATGTCATGACAGTGGTAAATGCTGAGTTCTCTGTGGCCTGACAGGTCATTTTTGTTGCTTTTCTCTGTTGTGAGAAGCAGGGACCCAGTTGGTTACTAAATAAATAGTGAATGAAGAAACAAACCAGCAAAAAAGCTTAAGAAAAACTCAAGTTTCCACTACTGAAAATACTTGAATCTGTGTTTTGATCTGCTTTTTGACCTTTTATTTATTTATTTATTCAGTTTTATTCTTACATCTCCAGTGTCTAAGGCAATTGCTGCTGTTCTTTCCTTAATCTCTTTATCTAGAACCACAAGGTAAACATTCTTCTGTTTATTTCTTTGGAGATGCTGACAGTGGAGGAAATAGTCAGGAAGAAAGTGAGCCAGATGACCAAGATGAATCCCCATTTGTACCTCCTCCTGGATACATGATGTATACCGTGCTTCCAGATGGTTCTCCTGTACCCCAAGGCATGGCTCTGTATGCACCTCCTTCATCATTGCCCAACAACAGCCGACCTCTCACTCCTGGCACCATTGTTTATGGTCCACCTCCTGCTGGGGCTCCCATGGTCTATGGGCCTCCACCTCCCAACTTCTCTGTCCCCCTCATCCCTGTGGGTGTGTTGCATTGCAACGTCCCGGAGCACCATAACTTAGTAAGTTGAAAGACAAATGGCCTTCTCTCCACACAGCTTCTATGGGTGACTGATAAGGTTATAAAAGTCTTCCAGAAGTTTATGGAATATGCATATTATTTAAAAAGCCATACATAGATTTCAATTTTTTTGCACCAAAATGATCTTTATTTCTATTTTCCCATGTACTTCTTGAATTAATCTTATATGTGAGTTGACCTGATTAAGAATTGATTATGTCCTCAAAGTGTGTTTGTTAGATTACTGTTTAGAATGAGCAGACATTCTCTCATTATTATTTTATTTTATTCTCTTTTTTTGGGGAGAGATTTTTGCTGTTGGGCATGTGAGCTCGCCAGAAAGACAGAGAGACAGAGACAGAAAGCGAGAAATTACCCCCCAGGGGGGATGACCACGCCGCAATCCCTTCTTCATTCTCTTCTTGGAATCTTGGGCACGCACGCACGTACGTGTGCCCAGCGTGAGTTTAAGCCACCAGGTCCGGGACTCAGACCACGGTCGACTACATGAGAGTCCAGTGACATAGCCATTACACCAACTGCTGGTCCCTCATTATTTTTTTTTTTTAATTTTAATTTTTTTTTAATAGAGATTTTTGCTATAGGGCATATGCACTTGCTAGAAAGAGACAGAGAGAGAAAAGGCAAGAAATCACCTCCCAGAGAGGATGGTCACACCACAATCCCTTCTCCATTCTCTCGGGATTTGGGGCACGCACACACATGCATCTAGCATGGGTTTCAAGCCTCCATGTCTGTCTGGGACTCAAACTCAAGCCATGTGGGTGTCCCACAATGTAACCATTATGCCATCTGCTAGTCTCAGCATTCTTTTATTAAAATACAATTATGAACAGGAGTTAAAGTGCCAAGGGCCCTTTATCTAAACCTGGTTAAGCTATTTTATAACAGAAATACTTTTTCACTCCAGAAATTAACCATTTGTACAAAGCTTATATTGTATTTTTCTATTGTCAAGTATTATGTTAATGTGTATATATAGATATAGTCACATAGTAGCAGTTGTACTTGCTATATATACATACATTTTATATATATATTAGATATTTTATATATATATATATGCATATGTATGAATAGCATATGGCCAGGCTTTGGTGGAGATTATCTCTGAGTGGTGGAACTTACTGATGATGGTTTATTTTCATAGTTGTTATTATCTATATGATTTTGAATTTTAATTCAGTTTGGTTTGGTTTTGCTGTAAGGTCAAGTCATTACCAGAGAGAAAGAAGCAAAGCAAGAAATCCCTCCCCAGGGCAGGGGTGGGCCATGCCACAGTCCCTTCTCCTTCATTCTCCTCTCAGGATTTTGAGCACACATGTACATGTGCCCGGCGTGTTTCTCAAGCCACTGGGTCCCTGTCTCAAACTGATAAGTGGGCTGTATGGGATCCAGCCACCTTAACCACTGTGTCACTGGCTGGTCCTGTACACATACTTTTGTATTCTGTTTTTCCCACTTAATATTATAAGCATTTTTCCATGGTCTTACAAATGTTTTTAAACAGTATTTTAATGATCCTACAACATTTCTTTAGTTGTAGGTACTGTAGCTATCTAAATTATTATAGTATTTCATGTTCTTTCTTTTTTTTAATTTGCCAGAGGGCACATGCCCTTGCCAGAGTGAGAGTGCAAGAGAGAAAGAGAACGTGAGAAAGCACCCCCTTCCCCATGGGGTTTGGTAACACTGCAGTCCCTTCTCCATCTCTCTCTCTCTTGGGATTTTGGGCATAGGCACACACATATGCCCAGCATGTTTTCAAGCCATCAGGTCCAGAACTTGAACTGCACAGTTGGGATCTAGCTGCTTCACCGCACCACTGACTGGCCCATCTCTTGCAGTTTTTTAGTGTACAGTGTAATTTGTAGCAGTTCTGTCTGGTCAGCATTTATTGACAATCTCTTTAACTGGTTCTTTAACCCTTTAGAAGTACCCAGCTATGTATGTGGTCCCTAGGTGTGCTCTTATTTCCCCCTACTTTTGTACTTGTGACTTCAGTCTGTCTTTCTCCTTAGATTCATGAAGAATGAATAATAGGCATAATATCTATTTGCCTTTTCACACAACTCCCCTCTTGTGTGTCCAGAGGCGAGAGAGATCTCTGTCTCTCTCTTCAGCTAGGAACTGAATTATTTGGTGGCAGAGGTTACTCATAGGAAGCTTAGTGAGAGCTCCTTGATCACAGTCAGGCTGATGGGAAAGTTAAAAGTCTGAGTGGTATGTCAGTTTTTTTCGATGGCATATGAAAAAAATTAGCTTGACTTAATTTTTCTTTTCATACTGGGGTCTTGGAATGTACCACCATTTTTTAGGCCGTAAATGCCACTTAAACCACTGTTAATTTCAATTAGCCAGAAAGAAACTTTCTGTGATGTTTTAGTTCTATAATTTTTTTCTTTGTTCAGGAGAATGAAGTTTCTAGGTTAGAAGACATAGTGCAGCATTTAAAATCAAAGAGACGGGAGGAACGGTGGATGCGAACATCCAAACAACAGTCTGAGAAGGAACTGGAAGAACTACATCATAATATCGATGGTCTCTTGCAAGAGAAGAAAGACTTAGAGCATGAAGTGGAAGAATTACAGAGAACCCTCCAGAAATCTCATCAGCAAAAGTAATTATTAGTCATTATAATTTTATAATTCAGATGAATATTACATAGTTCATTAAGATAACCTAAATCAAGTCTTATACAACTTTCTGTGATTTTTTTTTTTTGAGAGGTTTTCGCTATAGAGCGTGTGCGCTCGCCAGACAGACAGAGAGAGACATAGAGACAGAAAGCGAGAAATCACCCCCCAGGAGGGATGGTCACACCACAATCCCTTCTCCTCCATTCTCCTCTCGGGCTCTTGGGCATGCACGCACACGCGCCCGGCGTGAGTTTTAAGCCACCGGGTCCGGGATGCGAACCGCGGTCGACTACGTGGGAGTCCAGCGACATAGCCATTATGCTAACTGCTGGTTCCCAACTTTCTGTGATTTTCAAAATGTTCTAGATCTGTACCTTCCAGAAGAGTAACCTCTAGCTTCATGTGGCTGTTGAGCACTTAAAATGTGGCTAATGGAACTGAGAACATAATGTAATATTAAGTAATCTAACAGCCACCTGGTGGGTACTGTATTGAACAGTACAGTTGTGAATTCTCCTGACCAATAATCCAAATCAACTCTTTGTGTGTTCCCTCTTGGAGACTGATACAGCCATTCCCTCTCCCAGTTGCCCCAGCTAAAAATGTAACAGGGCTGCTCAGGTGTCTCCTCCCAGACTCCCCTAGACATGGAGCAGGTCTCCAGGTCCTGCTGACATTACATACAGGTCCCTCTGTCATGTCCCCTGCTCTGGCCTTGAATTAGTCTCATGCTAGGCCACAGTGGGAGCTTTCACATTGGCTTCCCTGTCTTGTCTCTTTTTCAGTCCATTCTTGACACATTGCAAAGCTGACTGTGCCCTCTCTCTCTCATGTATCTCTCAGTCTGATCAGAATATACACTGTCCTCCACAGTCTGAACCTGTCTTTTTTTTTTTCTTAACCTTCTCTTCTACACAGTGTTTGGTCTGGCTCACTTACTTTCCTGTGGTTTCTCTAAGCACCTCAATTTCTCTTGCCTTTCCACTTTTTTTCCCACAAGGTGTATTTCCTGGCCAGCTGGTGACATGGTGGTTAAGGTAACAGGATCCCACATGGCCATCTATGAAAGTCCCCCACCTAGCAGCTTGAAAAGCATGCAGGGTGCATATGTATGCTTACCCAAAATCCTGCGAGGAGAATGGAGGAGAAGGGATGGTAGCATGGCCAAGCCCCCTTGGGGAGTGCTTTCTTTTTTTTTTTTTTTTTTTAAGAGATTTTCGCTATAGGGCGCATGTGCTCGCCAGACAGACAGAGAGAGACATAGAGATAGAAAGCGAGAAATCACCCCCCAGGGGGGATGGTCACGCCGCAATCCTTTCTCCTCCATTCTCCTCTCAGAATCTTGGGCACGCACACACACGTGCCCGGCGTGAGTTTTAAGCCACCGGGTCCGGGACTCAAACCGCGGTCGACTACGTGGGAGTCCAGCAACATAAGCCATTACACTAACTGCTGGTTCCCGGGAGTGCTTTCTTATTCTCGCTCTCTGTGTCTCTTTCTCCCCATGAGTACACATCCCTATAGCAACTTTTTAAAAATTTTATTTTCTTCTTGAAAAAGAGAATGAGAGATATTGTCAACAGAGTCTTCATGCTGTGAGTCTCTGCCTAGCCCTGTAGCCAGGCAGGATCACAGTGTATGCCCTCGGGCACCCCTTGCTTGCTTAGGTAGACCCAGGATGAGAACCAAGAGCCTTCCCATATGTCCTCCAGCATCAGGCAGAGAACACCTACTGTCCTCACCACTGTAGCTGGACCTGCCTCCATTTCTGCACATGCTATTCTCTATCTGAAATGCCGTCTTTACCCCACTAGTTGACATCATCCTGTGTCTCTAAACAAAGGTCAGGGATCGCCTTTCCTCTCAGGCACCCCCAATTTGGGGTTATCAGCTTCTGGCACAGCATTGTTTATTTTGTCATGTTAGCTTTGAGTTATTGAATTGTGTGTCATGCTTTTTGATCTGTCAAATATTATGTCCATAGTTTTACTCTAGCAGAACAGAAATAAAATCACTAAATCTGGTAGTCTTCAGGGCAGCCTGTGAACTGGGCCTTGAAGGATAGTTTTATAGTTGAAGGAAAGCATGATTTTCGCGGTAATGGTTTGTTTTATTTTTATACCTCAGAAGAGTAAAAATATCAACATTATTTTGGCCAAGTGCTGACAACACTTCACTTGTATTTTAAAAAACAAACACATTGGGAACCAGCAGTTAGCGTAATGGCTATGTCGCTGGACTCCCACATAGTCGACCGTGGTTCGCGTCCTGGACCCGGTGGCTTAAAACTGACGCCGGGCACGTGTGCGTGCGTGCCCAAGATCCCGAGAGGAGAATGGAGGAGAAGGGATTGCGGTGTGACCATCCCCCCTGGGGGGTGATTTCTCGCTTTCTGTCTCTATGTCTCTCTCTGTCTGTCTGTCTGGTGAGCGCACGCGCCCTATAGCGAAAACCTCTCAAAAAAAAAAAAGAAAAAAAACACTCCATCATACTTTCGTGGGTTTTTTTGTTTGTTTGTTTTTTGTTTTGTTTTTGCCATATGGCATGTACACTTGCCAGAGAGAAGGGAACATGCAATATCACCTCTCAGGATATGGCCATATCTCAGTTCCTTCTCCTCCATTCTCCTCTTGGAATTTTGGGTACATACACACACATCCCACCCAGCGTGATTTTTGTTTTTCTAGCCGCCGGGTCTGGAACTTGAACCATGGCCAGTGGTATGGTCAACCAAAATAATATTGATATTTATATTCTTCTGAGGTATAAAAATAAGACAAACCACACCACCAGCCAGCCCTTCCATCCTACATTTTACTTATTGTGCATTTATTGCCAGTAGTAGTCCATGATTAGTGAAAATGTAAAACATGGACCTTGAACATAATCAGAGTAGCTGTCTGTTTTCCCTTCTCATATAAAATTATAAAATCGTATTTTTTTTAGCAGTTAGGCTATAAGTATCTATGTTGTTTGTGTTTATAATCTTTTAAGGTATATATACTTTTTTTTTAGGGACTTCATCGATGGAAATGTTGAAAGTCTTAGGACTGAACTAGAAATAGAAAAATCATTCAAATACCATGAAGATATTGTTGATGAAATTGAGTGCATTGAAAAGACCCTTCTGAAACGTCGCTCAGAGCTCAGGGAAGCCAATCGACTCTTGGCAGAGGCTGAGAGTGAACTATCATGCACAAAAGAGAAGGTATTCCTTCTGTCGGCATGGGTCTGAGCTCAGCATGGGTGAGGCAACCTACTGTCCTCTGCCTGAGGGATTAGAAAGAGAATGTGTGGTAAGAGCACAGTTGTCCAAGCTGGGTTCCAGGCTGGACTGTATTAGTGATGGAGCTATGAAAATCTGGGCAAATCACGTAAGTCCCCGAACTTTGTAGGCTGTTGAGTGTGAATTAAATAAAATAGTATATTCAAAACTCCTTAAGTTATTTAGCTCCCAGCACAACCCCTTTCTCCTTTTTTTTTTTTTTTAAATTTTTAAGTTTTTGCCATAGGGCACATGTACTCACTGGAGAGAGACAGAGAGAGATGAAGAGAGGGAAAGTGAGAAATCACCTCCCTCAGGGTGTGGTCATGCCACATTCTCTCTCTTCCATTCTCTTCTTGGGATCTTGGGTGTACACATACACATTCCCGGTATGGTTTTTAAGCTGCTGGGTCCAGGAGACCATGTGGGAGTCCAGCACCTTAACCACCATGCCACCTACTGTCTCCACATACCCCTTTCTTATCCTGTGTGTGTGCGTGCGCACGCACATACTTTTTAAAATTTGGGTTCAAATGTCTGTCTTTTAAATAGATCAGTCTCAAATTCTTACAAAGCTATAGTGAATCTCAAAAATCTTACTTTTTTTCTCCAAGTTGGTGATGATATAAAATATTTTTGGTCTAAAATAGTGTTCTTTAGATTATAACAGACAAAGAATTTGGAGAGGAAAAGGAGCTGCCTTTTATTGTGTACTTACTATGGTTGTACATTCGTATTTTTTTATAATTAACCTTCCTGGCAGTGCTGCAACATGATGTTAGCTCAGTCTACAGATGTAGTTCAAAGTAGTTGGCAATTAGCCTAGAGTCACACAGCTGAAATTTGGCCTCACCAAGAGCCTTTTTGGTGAGATGAGAAGTTGGGTCATTGGAAAAGTCATAATGTATTTTTCTGTGTTTTTCTATGCAAAAATGTGTCACTGGAAACCAGCAGTTAGCGTAATGGCTATCTTGCTGGACTCCCATGTAGTCGACCACAGTTCGCGTCCTGGACCCGGTGGCTTAAAACTCATGCTGGGCGCGTGTGCATGTGTGCCCAAGATCCCGAGAGGAGAATGGGGGAGAAGGGATTGCGGCGTGACCATCCCCCCTAGGGGGGGTGATTTCTCACTTTCTGTCTCTGTCTCTGTCTGTCTGGCGAGCACACGCGCCCTATAGCGAAAATCTCTCAAAAAAAAAAGTGTCACGACTTTTCCAGTAACCCAATAGGATAAAAAAAGGACTTTACCCACATGGAACACCTCAGAAACTACTATTTTTATATGAGTCAATGTGGACCTTTGTAAATTAGTAGAAATCTGTACTCAGGAACTGAAATAATTGGTGTGTTATTAAAGAAATTCTGCAAGTGAAGATTTCAGTAAGAATGTAAAAAGCTGGAGCCAATAGGTAGTGTTATGGTGAAGGCACTGGATTCCCACATGGCCAATAGCTGTTTGAGTTCCAGACCTGGCGACTTGCTTTCTCACTTTCTTTCTGTCTCAATCTGGTGAGTGCACATGCACTATAGTAAATTAAATAATAATAATTTAAAAAATTATTATTTTAAAAAGACGACTGTAAAAAGCCATCTCTTTTTAGATGAGCAGGTCCTTCTGTTGTCACATGTAAGGATACTATGAGAGAAGATAAGTGTGAACAGAACTGAGTAAAAATCACTGGTATATAAAAGAATATTGATGACACTGGTAGTAGGCAGAGTTAGTGAATAAACCGAGGCTGATAAGCTGTTTCCCCTTTGTGCTCCCAGAGTGATTATGAGAGGCAGCTTGATAAAAGGAGGAAGAGCAGGAGAAACAGGAAAGAAGCGGCTGTATTTTCTAAGAACTGTGCTAGACGTGTTTTAAAGCCTGACATAGAAGGAGACAAAACTACCAGGAAATGGGCCTTCTGCAGTGTGTAGTGAGTTTTGCCCATGCTTTGCTGATGAAACTGAGAGAAACCAGCTATCTGAAACGGAGGGAAGTGTGGGGAAACAAAACCCTTTGGGAGCTTGCCTGATCTTTTGTATCCACACAGAATATTTAATAGACAAATAACGTATAGACTCTTCTGATCTTAGTATAACGTAAAACTTCAGTTTTTTGGCTAAACATGAGTCACTGCTCAACTAAGTACAAAACAAACTCTGTCTTCAGATCTTTTCAATAACATTGTCTTAAGCCTCTTATTTTAAGCAGAGAAAGAAACTAGGGTAACTAGTTTCTGTATCTCAATACATTGATTTAAAAAAAAGTATTTAATATTTATATTTCTAGCCATAACTCAATCATCAGATTGTTTGTTTTGTTTTCAATTTGCTATAGGCTATGTGTGCTAACCAGAGAGAGAGAGAGAGGGAAAGTGAGAAAACACCCCCTGGGGGCATGGCCACCCACATTCCCTTCTCCTCCACTCTGGGGATTTGGAGCATACACACACATGAACCAACATGTGTTTTTTTTAAGCCAGCACACCCGGGACTTAAATCATGCAGTTGGCTGTGTGGATTCCAGCCTCCTTTACTGGCTGGAATATTAAAGTAACAAGTTTTTACTTGATAATATCTAGAGTGTAGCAGGAATCTCTATATGGAGGGATCTGGTTAAAAATCACTTCATTGCCATTTAATTGGATAGTTTCAATATAAAACAAGACAATACTATTAGATTATTTTGAAATATAAAGATTATCTATAGTCACATCACTTTCAACTGATTATTTTTGTATAGACTTTCTTTTTTTGACACAGATACAGTTTTACATGGTTGCATCCATTTAAAATTGTTTTCCAATCAACATAGTATCACTACTATTATTCTATGTTGTTCCATTATCATCTTACCGTTTTAAAAGCTACACATTGTTCCGTAGTATTAAGGCATTATCACTTTATCTCTTATTTATCAAGTTTTATATTATATCCATATACAATGAGTATTTTTATGTGATAATTCTTTGCATCTAAATAATTTTTTGAGAATTGGAAAAGAATATAGAAAAGAATCAAATGAATGGACATTCTTATGTCTTTCTGTGTCATCTTATTTTCCAAAAGAGTTCTAACAAGTTATGCTACCAATAACCATGAGTGAGTATTACAACTGAATTATTATTAATGACATTTTCTCTTCTAGACAAAAAATGCTGTTGAAAAGTTCACTGATGCCAAAAGAAGTTTATTGCAAACCGAGTCAGATGCTGAGGAATTAGAAAGGAGAGCTCAGGAAACTGCTGTTAACCTTGTCAAAGCTGATCAACAGCTAAGGTAGGTGGGATCCCCAAGCTATTGCTGTGTATGGTAAGATGAATGAAAACTTTAGCTCTAAGGATAATAATTGGTTCATGATAAATAATACACATTATGTCTAAGGGGCCTGGAGGCATAAACTTATATGTTTTAGATTGCTCCAGGCTGATGCAGAGGATTTGGAGCAGCACAAAATCAAGCAAGAAGAAATCCTGAAAGAAATAAGCAAAGCTGTAGCAACAAAAGATTCAGACTTCCAGTGTTTAAATAAGAAGAAGGAAAAACTGACAGAAGAGTAAGTATGGCCTCTGTTGGGCTGCCAGGGTCTTGTGCTGGGAAGCAACTTCGGCTCGTCTCCCTTGGGCTCTACTCAAGTATTGCTGGTGCTTTGTAGGCTTCAGCAACTGCAGAAAGACATTGAGGTGGCTGAACGCAGTGAGGATCACCACCTACAGGTCCTTAAAGAATCGGAGACCCTCCTTCAGGCCAAGAGAGCTGAGCTAGAAAAGCTGAAAAACCAGGTATGACAATACATGCTTTGGACCAACAATTCATACTGCTTTAATAAAACCTACATATATTTAGTAATTATAAAAGTATTATGTATTTGGGTCAGCCCTATGACCTAGTTAAAGGAGCCAGATCCCACATGGCCTACTATACTGTTTGAATCCCAGTCATGGTGGCTTGAAAAACATGCCAGTTACAGATGTATGTGTGCCCAAAAATCTCGACAGAGTGGAGAAATGGAGGAGAAGGGATTGTGGTGTGACTGTGCCCGCGACCCATTATGGGGTGCTGTCTTCCTCTCTCTGTCTTTGGCAAGCATGACCACCCTCTGGAAAATAAAAATTAAAAAGTTAACACATGTCCGATTATAGAAAAGATTAGAAAATAAAGTATAAAAAATAAATGAGGTTTATATCATAGTGAGGTTATATATCACAGTGGTTAAGCATAGAGTCCCAACTCACCACGATATATTATTAAAATAAGTGAGTCCCAAAACATGGTATACATATTATTAATGTTAAATGTGTTTATAAACACAAATATTTGTATTTTTAGTCTACCAAAGTACAGAAGTCCTCTCATAAGGCGGTGTTATGAGTACTTCCTATTTTCTTCCTTTTGCATGTTTGTATTGTCCGCTGTTTCTATAACTAAGTTTATATTGCCCTTAAAAATGTGAACAATTTTTTAATTTAAAAAATTAACAAATTTTTTAAATCTCTATTTTTATCACCCAGGTTATTGTCAAAATAGAATAAGGATAGCTATGAAAGTTCTTTGAAAACTATAACCTGAGAGATCATCATGATTATCATGTTATTGTTCTTCTATGATTTGAGTGAGTTTAGGTATATGAGCTCAAGGTCTTTATTAGGTACTTCATGCTTGCACTCCCAGCCTAGTCTTCCTGATTCGGAAGGCTAGGATCTTAGCTTCTTTCTGATTTTCTCCCATTACCTTTAGCTGGACTAAATGATCTCTAGATTAGGACTGACGGCTACGTGAGCTTTGTCGAACTTTACAGTCTTCCTTTTCCTTTAATATAGGTGACAAGTCAGCAACAGGAGATGACTGTCTTGGACAGACAGTTAGGGCACAAAAAGGAAGAGCTGCATCTACTCCAAGGAAGCCTGGTCCAGGCCAAAGCAGACCTTCAGGAAGCTCTGACACTGGGAGAAACTGAAGTAGCTGAGAAGTGCAGTCACATTAGGGTATATTTTTCAGGAGATCTTCTTAAGATTCCTGGGACAACATGATAGATTCCCTTTGAGGCATGTTCATTGGTTTTCCTCAAAGGAAAATAGAAATTTCTGAAATCTCACTTCCTTGTAGCATCAGTCTGGCATCAGTGTTGTGTGTCCGTACTAAGGCTGTCATTGTAGCTCCTCCTCTCTTGCTTCTGTACCCTTCTCATACCATTTGTTCTCCATGATTTCTCTTTCTTCCTTATCAAAGCCAGATTTCATGGTTTCTCATGGCCCTGCTTCATGCTACCCCTTCAAGAAGACTTTGCTGATTTTTCCCTTTACCCTGGGAAGAAGAGCTTTTCTTGCTTCTGGGTTTGGTAACTTTGCCTGCACGTTCCCCATGCTTTTAGTGATGGTGTTTGTATTCCTTGCCTTCCTTCTTCATGAGATACTAAGCTCCTCCAGGGCAGGAACCAAGTCTGTATCAGCCTATTGTTGCTACAGCACATTGCCTTGGACATAATAAATGTTATGTATCATTTAAATAAAAAGAATATGTTACTTTCTTACTTTTATTATACAGAAAAAAATGTGCTGTTCTTGACATAAAAGTCAAAAATGACCTTGTTTCTCATTGGAATTTCTTTGATATGAGACATTTAATAACAACTGATTTTTAAAGTAATTGCCATTCATAATTTCACAGGGGGAAGGTGACTTTCTTTCTTTCTTCCCTTTTTTTTTTTTTAAACTCAGGAAGTAAAATCTCTTCTTGAAGAATTGAGTTTTCAGAAAGGAGAACTGAATGTCCAAATTAGTGAAAAGAAAAATCAGCTTGCACTTGTAAAGCAGGAAATTGAAAAAGAAGAAGAAAATCTTCAGGTAGTTTTAGGACAGATGTCTAAATATAAAGCTGGTAAGTTTAAAGGAAAATAGTAATACAAAGTTTGAGGTTGGAAATGTCTATAGTACAGGTCACAGAAAAATTACAAATGGACAAGAAAACTTTTATAGTTTACCTTTACTAGTAATAAGCAAAGAAAAACAAATTATAAAAAAAGAATATTATTTTCTGCTGTTTGAATTAAAAAGGTTTTTTTTTAAAAGCAAAATAACTGTTGGAACCAGCAGTTAGCATAATGGCTATGTTGCTGGATTCCCATGTAGTTGACCATGGTTCGAGTCCCAGACCCAGTGGCTTAAATTCATGCCGGGTGTGTGTGTGAGCGTGCCCAAGATCCCGAGAGGAGAATGGAGGAGAAGGGATTGCACGTGGCCAGAGTGTGCTAAAAGGACAGCTCTTACAGGCTATTGTTTAGCTTAGACTGGAGCAATCTCCCAGTGCTTAGAAACTTAAAGTTCACAACTGTTGAATCAGTAAGCCTATTTCTACTCATCCAGAGAAGGCAAACATATATGTGCATCACAGCAACATTTATAATTTTAAAAAATTGGAAGCGAATCACCAATTTAAAAGCTGTATTCTATGAGGCTGGACAGTGGCACAACAATAAAATGTGATGCTCTGCAAGGCTGACCCACATAGGAAGGTTACATGTTCTTGTTAAAATGTCTTCAACAAATTAAATAATGTTTAGCAGTATTTTTAGAGAGTTTTTGTTAGTTCGTTTTTAGTTATTTGCTATAGTGCATTTGTGCTTGCTGGGGAAAGATGGGGGGATGGAGTGAGAAATCATTCCCCAGGAGTTTTGCCACTCCACAAGCCTTCTCATCCATTCTCCTCTCAGGAATTTTTGGCACACATACACCTGGCATGATTCTCAAGCCACTGCATCTGGGACTTAAACCACAGTTGGCCATGTAGGACCCAGTGCCTTAACCTCTACACCTTGCCAGCCCTTTAGAGAGATTCTTTTTTTTTTGAGAGATTTTTGCTAAAGAGATAGAGACAGACTGAAGACGAGAAATCTCCCTCCCCCCCCGGGAGGTGACCATGCCACAATCCCTTCTCTCAGGATTTTGGGCATGCACACACTACATGCCTGGTATGAGTCTCAAGCCACCAGGTCCAAGACTTGAACTGCAGTCGACCACATGGCAGTTCAGCACCTTAACCCTATACCACCCACTTACTTACTAAAAACAAATTTAGTGGGCCACCTGGTGGCATGGTGGTAATGGTGGCAGCCAGATCCCATAAGACTAACTGCATGGTTTGAGTCCCAGACCCAGTGGCTTGAAAAATATGCTGGTACATGTGTGTGCATGCCTAAAATCTTGAATGGAGAAATGGAGGAAAAGGAATTACAGTGTGACCATTCTCTTCAGGGCTGTTTTCTCATTTTCCTTCTTTTTCTGTCTCTTTCCAGCAAGTAGATGAGTCCTATAGTTAGTTTAGTTAGTTAGTTAGTTAGTTAGTTAGTTAGTTAGATAGATAGATAGATAGATAGATAGATAGATAAATTTAGCACCATTAATTCAACCCAAAATTGTTTTGATTCTTGTTTCTTTTTTGGGCAATAGCATATTTCTTTTTCATTTTGCATATGTTTCCAAGTTCATTTATTAGCTTTGTTTCTTCCTAATAGAACTAAAGAATATTCTGGACATGTTGCAACTTGAAAGCAGTGAATTACAAGGTTTGAAGCTACAGCATAACCAAAAGGTGTCTGAGTTAGAGAAGATTCAAGTCGAAGTGCTAGAGGTAATAAACAAAGCTGTTGTACTCTTGGTAAACTGTAGTCTTTCACTTTTAGGATGTTTCTTTTTTCTTTTCTTTTCTTTTTTTTTTTTGGTCAGAGGGTACATGCATTTACCGGGGAGAGCACGCCTCCAGTGGAGCATGACTACTGCACAATCCTTGTTCCTCTATGTCCCCATTTTGTCAGGATTTGGGGCACTCATAAACACGCACTCTGTGTGTTTTTCAAGACCCTGGAGCTAGTACTCCAACCATAGTTAGCCATATGAGATCTGGCTTCCTTAACCACTGAGCTATAAGGATAGCCCACTTATAGGATATTAGAGTGTTTGAGTCTTCTTTTCTCTGATTTAGGAGAAACTGGAGTTAGAGAATTTGCAGCAAACAGCCCAGCGACAAAAAGGGGAAATAGAGTGGCAGAAGCAGCTTATCGAGAGGGACAGACGGGAAATAGAGCGAATGACTGCTGAGACTCACGCATTACAATCATGTGTTGAGTGTTTGAGCAAAGAAAAGGAAGATCTCCAAGATAAATGTGACAGTTGGGAAAAGAAGCTGGCACAAACCAAAAGGTGAGAATAAGAACAAATAAGCTTGCAGGGTCACTTCTTAAATCTAAAGCATTATAAACAGACAATAAATAATTGAAAAATAGAGAAAAGGAAAAGAGACTACTCTACAAACTTGGTATTATGATACAATTCACAAATAGCATTTTGGTGAACGTTCTTTTAGCTCTTTCCCCCACCTCAGGAGCTTTTTTTTTTAAAGAGAGATTTTTGCTGTAGGGCACATGTGTTTGCCAGAGAAACAAAGAGACAGAGAGACAGACAGCAAGAAGTCAACCCCCAGGGATGGCCACACTGCAATCCCTTCTCCTTCATTTTCTTCCAGGGATTTTAGACACGCACGTACCCAGCATGAGTTTGAAGCCGCCAGATCTGGGACTCGAACTGCACTTGACTATGTGGGAGTCCAGCAACATAACCATTATGCCATCTGCTGGCTTCCCTAAGAGCATTTTTAAAAATAGCCTGTTGTGTTTTGTTTTTTTTTTTTCCCGAAGAGGTTTTTGCTACAGGGTATGTGCGCTTGCCAGACAGACAGACAGAGAGAGAGAGAGAGATAGAAAGCGAGAAATCACCCCCCAGGGGGGATGGCCACGCCTCAATCCCTTCTCTTCTATTCTCCTCTCAGGATCTTGGGCACGCATGCACACGTGCCCAGTGTGAGTTTAAGCCACCGGGTCCGGGACTCAAACCATGGTTAACTACGTGGGAGTCCAGCGACATAGCCATTACGCTAACTGCTGGTCCCTGTTGTGGTTTTTAAAAATAAAATAGTATATGCTGCTGGAAAATAATGGAGACATACTTTGTTCATGGATAAGAAGACTTAATTCTCTTCAGATTGATCTGTACATTCAAAACAATTATAATCAAAATTTCAGTAGGCTTTTTATTTTTTGTAAAAATTGAAAAACTGGTTCTAAAATTCATATAGAAATGCAAGAGACCTAAAATGGGATTTGTACAGTTTTTTACATGTGACACTAAAACAACTTAGAAAAAGAAAAATCCATTTAGAGCTAATACTACCTGATTGCTTTATTTTATTGAATTTTATTTTGGGAGAGATATTTTTGCTATAGGGCATGTGCACTCGCCAGGCAGAGACAGAGAGACAGAAAGCGAGAAATCACCCCCTAGAGAGGATAGCCATGCCTCAATCCCCTCTCCTCCTTTCTCTTCTCAGGATCTTGGGCACGCACACACACATGCCCACCATGAGTTTCAAATCACCAGGTCCAGGATTCAAACTGCTGTGGACTACATGGGAGTCCAGCAACACGTAACCACTACGCCATCTGCTGGTCCCAACAGTACCTGATTTCAAGACTGAGTATAAAGCTATCATAATCAGAACGCATAGACAAATAAATACATGAATAGATCAGAACAGAAAGTCCAGACATAAACTTACACATATGTGGACAGCTGATTTTGATACATTACAAAGACTTCTTTTTCTGTAGAGAAAAGATGAACAATATTGCTGAAACAGTTGGTATTGAAAACAAACAAAAGAGGGACCAGCCATTACCGTAATGGCTATGTTGCTGGACTCCCATGTAGTCAACTACAGTTCGCGTCCCAGACCCGGTGGCTTAAACTCACACTGGGCGCATGTGTGTGCATGCCCAAGATCCCAAGAGGAGAATAGAGGAGAAGGGATTGCGGTGTGGCCATCCCCCTAGGGGGTGATTTCTCGCTTTCTGTCTATCTGTCTGGCAAGTGCACGCACCCTATAGCAAAAAAAAAA